AGGGCGTGCCACCCTTGGGGCGCCACCTCGACGGCGTCGCCGCGTCCTCCTGTAGTAGTCACAGGTAACTCGTCTTGCTGTGCTGTTCCTGTTCCGCTGATATCAATGCAAGTTGGTGAGACATCTATCATTGGATTGGTCGATTTCAATGTATGACATGACGATACTGCTCTTTTGTCAAACGAAACGGATCAATCCCGGCGTAAAGTTGGCACATGGGTTACCGTAACACCAAGTTATTGAATCATGGGCAGTTATAAAAGATTGGTCTCGTAAATTAATTAGAAACTGTATAATTAGTTTTTTTATCTATATTTAATATTTTAATACTCTATGCATATGTCCACCATTCAATGAAATTGGAGGTAAATAGAAAGTAAAAGGCCTCAATTTTCTTGTTCTCTGTTCGACCACTCGGAATAGTATTGCTGGTACTGCAACAGTGTGTTCTTGCCTATGGAACATTGCCACGCACAGCTGTGGTAGATTTTCATATTGGTTTTGTCAATTTTTACTTGAGAAAACTTTATAGGACTTTCTGAATATACGCTCATACTGTCTTTCTGCCCGGTTTGTGATTGTGTGTTGATACAAAAGAACAATTTCAATATTGTCATTAACTGAATGCTGCTGATTTTCTTGTATGACACATAATTTGAATGTTAAACAAAACAGAGCATGACACGGAGTAGTGCTGCTGTTAAATGAAACAGATACTGTTTGACCCTTCCTCCTGCTGATTTGCTTTAATTATCTAAGTAATCAACATATCAATCTTGGTGCTTTTCAGTCTGTGGTCTTTCATTAGCTTGTACTAGTATCTATACAGTGTCCTTTCATTAGTTAGATTTTTCATATTGGCAGGCTCAACTTTAGGAAAACGTGCAATACTTTCTGAATATAATATGGTCCTCTTTCTGTTATGATCGGTTTGTGCTTCTCTGTTGATTGAAAACAACTGAACAATTTCAGGCCTTGTTTAGATTGAAAAAAATTTCAACCCGATGAATAGTAGCACTTTCATCTTATTTGGTAAATATTATCCAATCGTGGACCAACTAAGCTCAAAAAATTCATCTCATGATTTCCAACTAAACTATGCAATTAGTTATTTTTTTTACCTACATTTAATGCTTCATGTAAACAGCTAAAAATTGATGCGATAGAAAGAGAGTGAAAAAACTTGGAATTTTGAGGGTATCTAAACAAGGCCTCAGTATTTATTGTCATCAACTGCAACTGATCCATTGGTTTTTGTGTCCCTATTGCATATATGCTCCTCTTTGTGATGATAAAACTGCCTTTTTAATTTCATCATCACCACAATTTTTTAATTGTTGAAAACATTTCCCGAGCGCCTGCCCCTGCCCCGGACCACTACTGCTCCAAGTACTACGGCTCTTATCACAGGGACAGACGACCACCCGCGCGTCGTGTCAGGGGCTGCGGACTGGGCGCAGCAACACCAGCGAGGCGGAACCAGCAGCGCCGTGCCCCTGCCTACTACTGCTGGTGGTTCTGAAGAGCGGCGTGGCGCCGCTGCACGCCGTTTCGTCCTATACTGCTGTGTGTTTTTATAGCATGTACGCTGCTCGTATACGATCGTGGATAATAAGTTGAAATAGTATTTTTGTCTCACACTAAACTAGCCAACAGTAAATAATTCACGATCGTTTACAGTCTGCCGCAGCGTTTGAGACTATGCTTCACTAGATCTCTAGTAGCTAGCGTGGCCGGCGTGCCCGGCTTTTAGTGAATGGATAGAAGACGCAATTAGCAAAGATTTTGATGGATGATATATAGTGAAGTGAAACTGATGATGAACTTGCAAAGATTTCGATGGATGATAATAGTGAAAACTCATGATGAACTAGAAAACTAGGCGCGCCGAGCGCCATTTTTTATACTTCTTGCGTATATAACCCTCGGCTTTCTCTTTAGATGGAGTTTGTGCCGATTTGATTTATGGAGAGATGGTGCTTGGCAATGGGATCTGATTCTGTGAAGAGTGCGAGGTGCTTGATCGTGAGGGGAGCCCTCTTGAGAGTGAGCCTGGCTACATACATAGCAGGTCAGCAGCCCAACGGTAGGAGGAACCATCGAAAACAGGCACATCACCGAGATGTATTGCGTCAACGAACCCCCCTGTTCGCTTGAGCTTATCAACCGTATTGTTTCAGCGAAATAACAGTGTTTTTCTCTCACAACAAATCAGCATCAGCATCAGCCGTTTTTCAAGCCAGTTGAGGACATGAATATCATATTTCCATTCTGGATTTGGCCAGAGCACAATTTACTCCTTATCGCTTTGTTCAATTTGACACCCAAAGATGCTGTCTTCAGTTAAGCTCGATTGCAGTGAATTTGTTCCATATTGTGTGATCTATCTTATATCAGCATGAAATTATTGACCTACAAAAATACATTAAAAAGGGTTTCAAAAATAAGCACAGAAATATAGGACAGAGAGATGAAAAGGCGATGCAAAAGTCTAACTATAGGAACAATTATGCCCCATCGTACTCTCTATCTCAACTCTTAGTTTTCTGACTAAGCAACAGTATACATCAATAGCCGAGCAAACAATTTACAGAACGTTTGAGAGATGTATGTTTCAGCGTCTTTGTCCAGAGATAATGCAGTCTAGCATCCCGCAAACGAAATGAAGTACAGATGCTGGTTGCTGAAACGGTAGTATATATCAAAGCAATGCTCGCAGGAACTCTAGGGGAAACGCAACAAGCAATCTAGCAATTTCAGTACACAATAACCAAACTAAGCACCAAACACAAGCTTCTTCCTTAGAAACTTAGCTTGCCACCAAAATAGTTCTACATATATAGGTCATGTTCGTTTATCTTATAATCCGTACTTTTCAGCTTATTTTTTTAGCCGGAATAATATTTTTCTCTCACAACAAATCAGCCGAAACAATGTTTTGATTTGTTTTTTCAGTGAAACGAACGGGGCCATAAAAGATACAATGAGAAAACATATATGGCTGGGGGTACCTTGCATCCTCTTGGGTATAAGACTAAATATAGTTAGGAAGGATTTGCTATTAGACACCGCCTGTTTTCAGTTCAACGGGTAACAAATTTGGAGAGCAGCTGTTTCAGAACACCGGGGCAGCTAACTGTCAGGTAGTCAAATCCACCTCTTTCCATGACTGCATCCAGAGTCTAGCTGAGCTTAGGAACGCGAAGCATGCATCCTTAAGCCCATGATAGTTGTGCTTTTCAGCTAAAGCCAAGATGGTCGCGGCGGAGCCCGTATCAATATACTTGCACAGTTTATCTTCACAGATCAACTTCAGCCTCTCCAGGTTATACCTGTCTGTGGCGACAAGCAGATGCTGAGCCATTGCACATTCCTCTCCTTCCTTCATCTCTGTCAGGGTGTCCGTGTAAATGAAGGTGAGCAGCGCATCGAACACCTCTGGCTCCATGTCTTCTATGCGTATGGCGTTGGTGGTGTGCTCTCTTCCATCGGAACATAGAGCTCCGCTTTGAACACCGGCGACCGCGTCGAGAGAACAAGCCGATGAGCAGAGAATGTCTTCTTGCCAACTCGGAATTTGACATTGGCGTCCTCCTTGCTCAGCAAGAGATCATGGGCGGACCCAGGGCCCGGCGACCCTGGGCGCCTGCCCGGGCTCCCTTGCGAGCGGTACTGGACAATAAGGCCCTATTTGATTGAGCTGTGGCCGTGGGAAAAAGTTGCTGTGGGCTGTGAGCTGTGAAAAAGCTGCTGTGGGCTGTGAGCTGTAGAAAAGTTGAAAGCTGTTTGGTTAAACAAGTATAAAATATACCTTTTATCTTTATCTCTCTTGAAACAACTGTGGAAGAGCTTTTTATTCCACCAATTTCGAAAAGCAAAAAGCCAAAAGACAAAAACAGGGTCAACCCAGCTTTCAAAAATAAACTACGGAAAAGCAGCTGCTTTTGAAAAAGCACCTTCCAAAAACAGCTCCTTTGGTTGGACTTTTAACTTTTGAGGTCAAAAGACAAAGCCAAAAACCCAAACAAACAGTAAAGGTCGCAGACACCGCACATTCTAGCAGCTTTTGTAACAGACGCCGTTGACCAGCTTGGATGCCCATAGTAGTTCCAAAATGCAACAGCAGTGAAGTAGCAGAAAAGCATAATGAACGGAGGCTCATTAATTAATTAATTGAAAGCAGTGGAGTACGTCTGCAATAAAACTGTGCAATGGCTATACAGTAGGGGTCAAATGCACAAGCGAAAGGGCCTATGACTGCATGTGAGGTAAGATATTTGGTGCTAGTCTCTTGGGCCAGCTGTAGTTGTAAAACTTCGATAATGGCTGCAGGACCAATGGCTATATATACTATGCTCCAGCACCTACGTGACTGTTATGTTTGCGTGCTATTTCTCTATATGCAAGGAGAAAATTGTTGAGATAGTCTCAACCTAGAAATTATGAGTATATTTGTCAAGTCGTATAGACATTGCATAAAGAAATTATACTCTCAATAAATGATTTCTTCTTTAAAATAGTTTTTTTATCAAACATCTTGTCTTTAAATTAGCTTCCATGTAGGTTTGCAACCCTGTCCGAAACCCTACCCTCTGGGTCCGCCACTGCAGGAGATCACCGTAGTGCCAGTGCGGCGGCAGGTCCAATGACAGCGTTCCCACGGTTTGGATGTCCCTCATGATGGTCACATTGAACCTGACGGTGGAGTCATCCCTGAGATGGTCGGATTTCTATGGAGCTTTCCACTCGATGAACTTTGGGTATCGCCAGCTTCCTTTCTCGGCGAAGTCCACAAATCCGGTGACTTTGGTGTAGGATGGCACCGGCTTCCCGTCCTGATCGAGTAAGCTGATGGTGACCTACGCCTTCAAACACCTTGCCGTTCTTGCACAATGGATGGCGAGAAACAACGATATAAAATCGCTCATGGTGCTGGCCATGGTGCAGCGATAGTAGAGGTACCCAAGGGTCTCCGGGTCTTTGGAGAGACCGACAAAGCCCTACAGCGAGGGGTCATAGTGTCCATCCACGGCCGGTGAAGGGGAACACCCAATCACCGTATCTTTTCCACACATACTCCTTGGTGTCAAAGATGAAGGTGACACCCTCTTGGCACTCAAGAGGATGCATCCATCAGGTTGCACGCCAGTGAAGGAGACATCCCCAATCCCGAACGGATGAGGAGTGAGTTTTTGCCACACCCACGGTTGTCCACTACGTTCCGGCTTCCGGAGGATTTCAAATGTGCCAATATCCAGAGCGAATAGCCTATCATCACTGATGGGGATGTAGATTGGAGCAGCCGGAGTGTTTGGTTGAGGTTCAAAGGTGATGGTCCGATCCTGGACATCGATAGTTGGGACACCCATGAAGGAATCATGACTATTTGCGCCTGGATGCATCACCATGACCTTGGGCCCAAAGGCTGACGTGAATAACCCGGGAAACCCATGCGGAGCTGAGACGCGCATGAAAACTAGCGGCAAGGGCGGCTTAGCGCCTTTGCCTGGGCCGGACGATAAGGCGGGCTGCTCAGAGTCTTCTCCTAAATCGGATGATTGCTCAGAGCGGCGTTTGCCTGAGCGGCGCGACAAGCTCACCTTGCGGATGGAGTATCCAGAGTTCCAGTCATCAAACACAAGGTAAAGGTGCCGCTTACGCTGCTCCAGCATCCTTGTACTCGTAGATCTAGTTCCTGTGATTCGAATTCGAAGAAGAATCGATTGCCAAATGTCAAATGGAAATCAATCAGGCCCAATCATCCTACTGCAACTCAACCCAACAAGTATCCAAATCTTAATCGAGGGCGACAGCAATTCGAATTCGAAAAAAGAATCGATTGTCAAATAGAAATCAATCAGGGAATCGCAGAAACGCACCTATACAAGTTGAAGATGGTGCGGCGGCGGTTGAGGTCGAGGCTGAGGCGTAGGAGGGGGAGGAGGTGAAGGGATGGTATAGAGAGAGGAAGGGAACCCTAGAAAGTTTCAGGCTGCCGCCAAGGAGTTGTTCATCGGCGTCAAGCCGTCCGCGTGAAGCGTAGTACTAGTCCGCGCTGCGTGCGTAAGGTCGGTGCGACGTGAGAAGCCTGGCTCATGGCTTTCCTCTAATGCCTCGTGCCTGCTATACCGCTGGGCGCTGGGGCCGGTCTTCTGACTCCATCGGCATGGAGTATTCTTATCTGATCTGGTAAAACAGCTTCGTATGGTTACTCTTTGTGTATGGACCATGCCCCGATAAAAGTGTATCAAAAAGCAAAATTGTACCTCGGTTATGCTCCCATTTAGGCGTGATCTTGGCTCCAACCCGATTGAAATTCATGGTGAAATTGAATCGGGCGCGCATTGGCTACACCCTGATTATATCTCATGGTGCAAATTTGGTTGTATGCAATCCTGGTTCCATCCCAGTCGAAATTCATGATGAAATTAGGCCGGACGCACATTGGCTCCACCTCAGTTTCAGGGTGCAAATATGGTTGGAAATGATCTTAGCTCTAACCCAGTCACGGCCTATGCTAAAATTGGTTTGGACGTGTTTTGGCTCCATCCAATTAAAGTTTGTGGTATGAAATCGGTTGGATTCGTTGTGGCTCCAGGTCGAAAACAATGATATAAAATTGATTGGATGCACATTGGCTCCAAACCCAGTTGTGATTCGTGGTATAAAACTTGTATAGACGCGAACTGGCTCTATATATATCCAAAAAAAAATCCATAAATGTTTTGGCAGGACACCCACGGTGGCCCAGGCCATATGCGTGTTCACGTGATGCAATCAAACGCCCCGTTCGTTTAGGCTTATTTGGCTTATAAGCCATGGCTGAAAGTACTGTCGGCTGGTTTGATGTGGGAGAAAAATACTGTTCGTTGGCTGATAAGCCATGGTTTATAAGCCAAATACGACCAAACGAACATGTTGCACGATAAAGATATTACGTGCTATGCTATGGTTATCAAAAGATTTCGCATGCCCAAGTTTTAAGTCTTCTTAACAAAATCAATAACCATGGTAAAATATTCTGCACATTCCATAATGTACGCCCGGCCTGTGTATTGGTCATAAGCTTTTGCTAGTACCATTCTTGTACAAAACCGAAATCATGCATGTGTGTCGTTGCATATCTACACGCACATGATAAATCAAATTAAATAAAATGTTTATAAGCACGGGGAGAGCAGAACCGAGCAGAGCCGGCAGGAAGAGAAGGATTACAAGACAGTTACAATCTCTGTTTTTTTTGGAGCAGAAGTTACAATCTCTGTTGAAACCTGCTTGGTTCGGTTTCATATCCCAGTCGGCACACAGGCCCAATTTGCAAAGAATGTCGGCCCAACTTTACAAGATCGGCCCACGGGTATCTTCAAGCCTCTTACTGCTTCCCGCGCTTGCCCCACTTTCTCTTCTTCCCGTGGCATATGACACTGCTCACCTCTCCAAATCTAGCTTCACCTCAAGCTGGAGCATCCGAGAAAACATCACGGAAGGTCAAATGCTTTCTCCCATGAAGTCATGTGCCCAGGTAGCCTGGGCCGTTGTATCTTCCATTGAATATATGAACGGGCACACTTCTTTTTATTTTTGAAGGAATGACACACCTTTCTTAAGAAAAGACAAGAATCAATGATATGAACCGGTAACACCGTAGAGGTCGGGTCAGTGAGTTCCAGCGAAGCTTCAATCATCGGTGAAACATGCTTCTTCAATTCAGATACGTGTGAATCACCTGATGTATCTTAGTGGACGGCGAAAGTTCCAATTTATATGGCTCTTGAATGTTCCAGAAAATCTGTATGCCAACTTTTGATTGGATCTCGGAGCTACCGTAGCTTCAAACCTCAGTAGCTCTAAAATTTATAAGCCGTACTTTTTCAGCCAACAAATAATACTTTTTTCTTACACCAAATCAGCCAACAATACTTTTAGCCATGACTTATCAGCCAAACAAACCCAAACAAATAGGACGGAGTGCCATGAGTAGCTCGGAGAGCTAAAATCGACAAACGTGGACGGAGAAAGGGAGCCTCGAGATGGGGACAACATGACTCATCCCGCGGGAAGGACGAGTGCCACATGAGTCAGCACGGGGAGGCAGATGGAGAACGTCCTGGCTCAATTTCTCTAGCGACTAATTTAGAATCCCGGTAGATCATTACATGTTGGAACCTAATTCTGTTGGACCCTACGGAAGAAATAGTAATTTTCTTAGAGTTGCTCTATGAGAACAAATAACATGTGCAGGACACAAGTTTAATTAATCTCTGCATCATATCGAAGTCCGAATCAATAATAGCAGCTATTTTGGCACGATGACGTGCGAGATACAGTAACTAGGTGTCGGGTATTAGTATCAGGATACCCGGAAGAAGAAAGCTAATGGCCGCAAACGCTAACTTTTTCGGATGGTCAAGAACGTATCTTAGTATCGTCCGGCCCCGAGGGCACGGGCTCCGTCTCGCCCAAGAATGGCAACGGATCGGATTTGGGGCGGATATCCACGGGTTTCGGGTTCTGTGGGTTCAGGTTTGAGGATGGTTTTTTACCCACGGTTTTCGGGTTCGGGGCCCCAAAACCAATCGGGTTCGGTTTTGGGTTTGGTTTTCTACCTGTGGATATCCAATGGATATCCGAAATAAATCATTTGGAATTAAAACTCATGTTTTATAATATACTAATAATAATTTGTTTACTTAGATTATTAAATTTATTTAAAGTTGACTCATGAAAATATTTATTATTTGTTGCCTCTTGTTTATACATGTGAATATGTGTATATATATCCGCGGGTTTCGGGTATCCATTCGGGTTTCAGGTATCCTTTCGGGTTTCGGGTATCCGCGGGTTTGGTTTTGGTGATGGATTTCCACCCGAATCGGTTTTCGGGGCAGATTCGGGTTTCGATTTCGGGTTTCGGTTTTGGGTGCACGGAGACTCCACCCGATCCGAACCCGACCCGTTGCCATCCTTAGTCTCGCCCGACCTTAAGGATACGGGATCCGGGTCACCCGACCCCAAGGACGCGGGCTCCGTCTCACCCGACCCCTCGAGCGAGAGCCCCGTCACGTCCAACCCCGAGGGCACGGACGCCGCCTCGTCCGACCCCGAGAGCGCGGGATCCATCTTGCCCGACCTCGAAGGCGCAGGTGAAAGGTCCTAATATGGCTAGAGGGGGGGTGAATAGCCTATTTAAAAACTACAAATCAACTAGAGCAATTTGATTAGTAAGACAAATAGCGAAATGCAAACTTGCTCTAGCACTACAAGGGTTGCAAGCCACCTATCCAACAATTCTAGTTGCAATGATCTATTTGCACACAATCTACTTGACCACTACTCACTAAGAGCTCTCACAAAAGCTACACTAAAGAGCTCCACTAGATATGTTTAAAGCACAAGGCAAGCTCTCAATTCTAATTACACTAAAGAGCTTGCTATATCTAGTTTGCGGAAATGTAAATGAGTAAGTGAGACGATTATACCGTCGGGTCGTGGAGTGAACCAATTACACGATGAATATATATAGCCAATCACCGGGAGAATGCAAATGACAAGAGACAACCGATTTTTCTCCCGAGGTTCACGTGCTTGCCAACACGCTAGTCCCCGTTGTGTCGACCAACACTTGGTGGTTCGGCGGCTAAGAGGTGTTTCACAAACCTCATCCACACGATAGGACACCGCAAGAACCGACCCACAAGTGAGGCAACTCAATGACACGAGCAATTTACTAGAGTTACCTTTCGGCACTCCATGGAAGGTACAACTCCCCTCACAATCACCGAAGGCGACCACGAACAATCACCAACTCGTGCCGATCCTTCACCGCTTGCTCCAACCGTCTAGGTGGTGGCAACCACCAAGAGAAACAAGCGAAATCCACAGTATAATCTGAATACCAAGTGCCACTAGATGCAATCACTCAAGCAATGCACTTGGATTCTCTCCCAATCTCACAATGATGATGGATCAATGATGGAGATGAGTGGGAGGGCTTTGGCTAAGCTCACAAGGTTGCTATGTCAATGAAAATTTGCAAGAGAACTCCCTTGAGCCGGCCATGGGGCTATAAATAGAGCCCCAATCAAATAGAGCCGTTATACCCCTTCACTGGGCAAAACGCGCTCTGACCGGACGCTCCGGTCATACTGACCGGACGCTGGCCCTCAGCGTCCGGTCGCCCGATGGACGCCACGCGTCACCAGCTTCAAACGCTGTTCGTCAGATTTCAACGGTCGCGAAGCTGACCGGACGCTCGATAAAAAAAGCGACCGGACGCCGAGCCTCAGCCAGCGTCGTCCGGTCGTTTCGATAAGCTCCCGAGGCGTATTTCTTGACCGGACGCGTCCGTCCACCTTGACCGGACGCATATGAGTCGGTCCGTGCTCAACCTTCCCTCTCAGGTGCCGCCCGAAGTCAAGACGACCGGACGCAGCGCCGTCAACGTCTGTATGCTTCGATTCAAATAGTCCGGTCCACAGACCGACGCCAAAGAACATTTCGATCAACTCCATTTCAACTCTTACTTCTTCACCCTTGCTCAAGTGTGCCAACCACCAAGAATTTTGCATCCGGCGCAATAGAAAATAGACATTTCATTTTCCCGAAGCGAATCCCGCCTCATAAGCTCGGCGGGGAGGGAGAGAGGACCCAAACCCATCTCAACCCCCAAACA